TAAAAACTTACGTTTTTACGTATCCAGGCCAGCAAAACGTTTCAGTTTCTACCTAAAGTCGCTTAGTCACAAAAACTTATAAAAACATGGGTACAATCGGTAAAATCGCTTAAAATCGGTAAAATCGCGATTCTGAAGTGTTTTTATACGATTTTGATAATCTCATAAAAATGTGCTAATTAGCCCAAAATGATATAATTTTGGAGACATTAGCAAAAAGTAAAAAAGGAAAACATGATTCATCACTCAATCTACATCTAGTGTTGAGATAGGGGCTTCACATTTGGTTGAAAAGACACCTAATGGTATTCTCATCAACCGTTGACCTTCTATCAGTCTTCTCCCTTAATCTTCACCTGTGGCTCTTACCTGGGTTTCGATAAAAGTTTATGGGTAATTGATCGTATGTAATTAAGTAAACTCAAACCAGATTATGAGTATTTGGATTCTCAAACTCGTTTACGGGTTACGATCTACGTTTATGAGCTTATTATTAAGATGTTATGAGTTTTCTCTACTTTTGAATCAACACAAATTAGTTTATGTGTTAGATATTACATTTTAATTATGAATTTCATGTAGTTATTCACTTATCTAAAATCTACAGACTCACATTTTACATACTATATGTTGCACTTAACATATTTTAGCTATTTTAGAGGATGTGTAAAAAACTTACGCTTTTACGCTTTGATTCTACGTTTTATGATTTTACCCATTTTCCGCTTTTAGGTAGAATCACGCTTTTAACTGCATTGAGCCTCGTTAAGGCTTTTCCTCACTGACATGATTTCATCTTCCTAGGAAGAGGCTTTTAATTTGTACTTTAATAAGATCACTGTAAGGAAGTGATTAAGTACCATACATGGGCTTCTGCCAACACTTCGAATTATTGAGACCATTTAATTTATGACAATCACAGTCATCGTATGTGAAATGTTAAATTCACAATGAATAGATTCGTGATTCTTATTAATAGTTTTCTAGAAAGAGTACATTTGGAACATTTAATCATTAAAAAAAATGGGTGGTGTAACTAAATTGACTATAAGTATTTCATATTTTTGGATTCACTTTAAGGTAAAAGATAAAAATGGAATGACCAAGTGTAACAGATGAACCGAGACATTATGGGTAGAATCTTGGTAATTAACATATAGTATAGCACACGAAATGGTAAAATATGATAGACACAATGTACGTAAGAAAGAAAAAGATAATGAACACATACTAAATTTTAGCATGATCTCAACAAAATCTCAATTAAGTGTGCAGATTTTGTCATTCTCACTAGGTAATCGTATGTTCCATCCACGATAACTCTATCTTTGTGGGGTATGTATGATTGTCTTTTCTTCTATTTTTTATAAAATATTATAGGCGCTTAAAATTCAGGTAGTGCAATGGATTAATGACACAAATATTGTTTTTTTTTTTAAATTTACCATCAATATGGCGGATTAAGAAGTATTTACATAGATATTGTGTTTTGGAGACAACAAATGGCGGCAACACCTGGGACTCAGGCGCCGCCGCTATGGATGATATTTTGGAATAAGTTTCGGCGGCGGCGCCGAAGACTCAGGCGGCACCGCCGGTGACTCCAGCGTGTTCGGTGGGAACCTGTCCCAGGTGGCGGCGCCCGAGACTAGAGTGGCGGCGCCTGAGTCATCAGCGAGTTAGGTGGCCTTCCCCCTATATAAACCCAGCCAATTTCATTTCAGTTTCACACCACAAAAAAATCGTTAAAAACAAAGGAGCTTTGGAGCTCTGGTTGCTGCTGCAAAAATGGCTAATAGGTAAGAGACGCATTTATTTTTGTAATTATATTATTCAAATGTTATTATGATTGTGTTTAGTTTTAATTAGTGAGTCTGTTTTTTTGTAGTGATTTTAGAAGATTTGAACTAGTCGTTCGATGGAAATCGGAGAAAGTAGAAGATAATTTGGGCGTCAAATTCGTTGGTGGTAGTAGTTTTCAGATGACGATTCCATCCAGGGTCACATATCATTATCTTTGTGAGAATCTAATTCCGAGAATACGGCGTAGAGACGAATCAGTACAAGATAGTGATGTGATCACAAGTTTCATTTACCGTCTTCCAGAATGGCAGAATGGTGTTTTATTTCATTATGCAATGCCTATTGTGGATGATGATAGCTTGAATGTGCTTTGGAATTTTATGGCACAAAATCCTTATTGTTTGGGTGCTGAGATACATGTTGAGCTCAGTGACGATCAGGGTGGAGAGGTAGAAGATGATACATGGAGCGTGCCATCCGATCATGCCTATGATGACGGTGATGACGGAGAGGAGGAAGATGAGGAGGAGGAGGAGGAGGAGGAAGAGGGGGAAGAAGTTCCTAATTATCCTCCATATTTTTACTTGCAGGGTAATGAAGAGGACGAAGAATACTCACTTGTTGATTCATATGGCGTAATTCCAATGCATATTGTTGATAGTTTTGAAGGAGAATTCTACAAGGGGCAGATATTTCACTCGAAACAAGCTGCACAGATGGCGATTAAACACCACGCACTACAACGCAACTTTCAATATGGCGTGGTGGAGTCGTCACCTTCAATCTGGAAGGTCAGATGCTTGAGGCACAAGGATGACAATTGTCCTTGGATGGTGCGGTTTGGATGTCGAGATGCTGGAGGCGAATGGACTGTGAGAAAGGCTGAGTTGGTGCATTCTTGTAGCAGTACGACTCAACCGACGGATCATCGCCATCTTGATGTCGACATGATATCTGAGGCCGTCAAACATTTGGTACGTGCCCAACCAAATCTGAGTGTTCTAACTGTGCAAGCTGAGTTGAAAGATAAGTTTAATATGCAAGTTACTTACAAGAAGGCTTGGTATGGGAAACAAAGAGCATTGGAGAAGTTGCATGGAAATTGGGAAGAATCCTACGATTTTTTGCAGACATTCTTGCGGGTAGTCAAGAGAAAAATGCCAACATCGGTGATTGATTGGGTAAGAGTTCCTTCGACTCAACCAGGTCATTTGATATTTCAGCGAGTATTCTGGGCTTATGGACCTTGTATAGATGGATTCAAGAATTGTCTGGGCGTCATGGTTGTTGATGGAACATTTCTTACTGGGAAGTATAAAGGAGTGCTACTCATGGCGAGCTCATTTGATGGTCGGAAGAAAATTTTTCCAATTGCATTTGCCATAGTGGAGAGCGAGAATACTGAGAGTTGGCCATGGTTCATAAGGAACGTTCAGGGTTTGACTGATCGAAATGATGTATGCATCATCTCAGATAGACATGCAGGACTCTATGAAGCCATGAATAACATCGGAAGAGGTTGAGAGTGGAGGTGTTGCATGCGACACTATGCAAGCAATTTGCAAAGGAAGACTAAAAGCAGAATTATGTATAAGCAACTATTTCGAGTCGGTAAGCCTTCTTCATTTAATTATGTTATTTATTTTCATGTAATTTTGTCATGAATTTATCTAACCCGTGTGGTTGTTTATTTTGTTAGCTGGAGAAAAACGGTTGGAGAAGTTCGATCGTCAAGTTGAGCAATTTAAGAAGGTGGCCAGTGATAGAAATATTTCATGTGATAACTGGGTGGATCAACATCAGATTCGTTGGAGTTTAGCACATGATAACTACAACGGTGGGCGTCGTTGGTCTATGCTGACATCCAACATGGCAGAAAGCATCAATGGTGTTTTCAAAGGTATTCGTGCACTTCCTATAGCTTCTCTTGTGCAACATACCTATTGGCGATTGGTGGAGAAATTCGATAAGTACAGGTTGGAGACAGGAGCAGAAATTAGAAGTGGTCCTTCACAGTACTCCACCAAGTGCGAAGAGCTGATGAAGTACAGGTCACAAAAGGCAGTTGGACATTCTGTGACAGCTCTTGATCGGAGTCAAGGCATCTATGTAGTTAAGACTCCCCCCAACAATTTCAACATGACGGGGTCAAACACACTCACAGTGCACTTTGACGACCAAAACCGGGAGGGATTTTGCACCTGTGGTAAATTTCAAGGAAATAAAATTCCTTGCTCTCATGCTATTGCAGTTTGCAACCGACTTGGGGCTAATGCGTATGGGTTTGTAAACAATGTCTACAAGCTGGAAACAGTGATGGCTTGTTATGGGACAAGTTTCGCACCTCTTGGTGAACCTAAGGGTTGGAAGAAGCATAATGGTCCTACTCTCCATCCTAATGTGCACATGCTTAGGAAGCCGGGGAGGCCACGGGTTACAAGGATTCACAACGAGATGGATTGGCCAAGGGAGGGTGCATCACACCAAGTGTGTAGCAACTGTAACCAAGCGGGACATAATGCATCAACCTGCGGTGGTCAAGCTAGTGGGAGTGGGAGCAACCGAAGAGGGAGAGGTGGTCGAAGAGGAAGTAGAGGTAATAGACGTGGCTGAGAAGTTTGTTCAAATGTAGTAGTTGTTGTATTTCCTTCGAATAATCATGTAGAAGTTGTTGTAGTTTGGTATGAAGTTGTTGTAGTTTGGTATGTAGTTGTTGTATTTCCTTCGAATAATCATGTAGAAGTTGTTGTTTGAAGTTGTTGTAGTAATGGTTTTTATCGTTAATAAAATAATAACATAATCCTATATAGTCCAAACATAATAGAAACTACATAATAATCCAAACATAATAGTCCACACATAATAGTGTAATAAAGGAAGTACATAATAACAATCCAAAAATAAACAAACTACATAATAGTCTCACTGTGGACCACCACGACGACCACCACGACGACCACCATGCTCCACCACTAGATGGCCGCCAGTACCACACCTCGCAGCCACCCTGTTACGCATAGGTCGACCAGCATACGCCTGGGAATGATCCTCCTCCTCACCACCATCCTGATCCTGTGTACCGAACAGATCATCCTGCTGAGACTGAAGATGCTCCTCAGGCGCACCGCCACCATGCTGCTGAGACTGCAGATTCTGCTCATAGTTCCACATCGTCTCCTGAAAAACCTGATCACCCTCTAGGCTGTCCCACAGGTTGGGAGTCGAGGCTGCTCTAGTATCACCACCTGAAGCCATGTTTCCGCCTCCCACACCCAGAACTGCAGTAGGGCGACCCATCCACCAAGGTCACCGGCTAGAGAAGTGCCGGTATGCGAAATGTGCAAAGTCGACCTACCCATCTCACGGTACAGGTAGGATAAAACAACAGCTCCCCAGGCGAACCCTCCAGCCCTCTCCCAATCCTCAATCAGAAGTAGGTACTGTAGGTGCACCGTAGATCCAGACCGATCCGGGAAAAGTACACCTCCAATCAGAGATAGAGCATAAGCTCGTGCAAACTGCTCTATAACCTCCTGTGATGCATCATCCGGCAGATGGCTGAATTCAACCCTCAACCATGTAATCCTAACAACAGCGACCCCGCCTACAAGATCATAAGGAACCCGTCCTAACAGTCGCAAACAGATCGCCGACCACTCCTCATCCGGTATATCAACTACGACGGCATCACCGTCGATCGCCAAACCGGACAGTGTAACAACGTCCTCTAACGTGATCGTGACCTCACCACACGGTAGATGGAAGGTCGACGTCTCGGGTCGCCACCTCTCTACGAGTGCAGTCATCAAACTCGCATCGGGGTTCATAGGGACTAGGGGCACGACACTTAACAAGCCTGCCGCTTCGAGATATGGCCGATAAAGCTCACGGTAAGGTACTAAAATGGTCGTACCTCGAACATGGAAAGATCGATCACCAGCCTATAGTGCACAAAACTTATATTAATTTATCTTCATTCGTAATAATTCTAATTTCACCTAATTAATTCTAATCTATCTAATCTAATATCAAATTATACTAATTTCAAAAAATCTAATACGTAATCCTATTCTCTAACAGTACAGTTCAGTTCACCAACTAAAATAATCTAATTAGCTAATTAACTTTACATGAATAATTATTAAATACTTACCTCGTTTGTCCAAACAGAGTCCATACGATGTTGGCCATGTCCCCAAAGAAGTGTCGAATCGACCGGACTTGGATCAATTGTCGCCGGCGGTAATCTCATCGAATAAGGATCCATAAGCCTAGGAACTGCAAAAACAAACAACAAAACATCAATAAAAAAACACAAACCATTAAAAAAAAAATTCAAGCCGCCGACGAGAGTCTCACCGCGCAAACGGCTGCCACGACCTCGCCGGCCTCTCCCCCTGGCTCTGCCGGCGGCTTCTTCGTCGGAAGACATCAGCGGCGGCGCTTCAGACTGCAGCGGCGGCTCCCCTCTCTGCGGCGGCGGCGCTCAATCCCGAGCGGCGGCGCTCCCAGCTGCGGCGATGGCGCTCAACTCCCCAGCGGCGGCGCTCCCTTCTGCGGCGGCGGCGCTTCCCTTACAGGCGGCGGCGCTCCACTCACAGGCGCCGGCACCTCAGTTGCGGCGGGGATTCTCTGTTCGGGCAGAAAGAAAGAAGAAGAGGAGGAGGGTTTGGGGGGGGGGGTGTTGTGTGGTCTCGGGAAGAAGGAGGGGAGGAGAGTGTGTGTGGCTGGGAAAAGAGATAAGGGTGGAGGGGAGGGGGGGCCCCGAGCCCGAGGGAAATTTTTAAAAAAAATAGCCTGAGGCGGCGACGCTAGGGACTCGGGCGCCAGCGCCCGGAACTTTAGAATCTGCGGCGGCGCCTGAGTCTCCGGTGTGGCCGCCAAAGCCTTTTCCAAAAACACAATATCTGTGTCATTTGTTTTTAATCCGCCATATTGGTGGTAAATTAAAAAAAAACAATATTTATGTCATTAACCCTAGTGCAATAGACATTTTCATAGTAATTTCTTTTTTCAGTTTCACATATCATAATCCATTCTCCTCATTGAAGACCTTTGTTTGTACAAGATTCCTCACATTTGGACCCCTCCCTTCCCTAATTAGCTTTTACCCAACCTTTATCCTAATCCTCCCAATATAATAATAATAATAATTATTATTATTATTATTATTATTGTACTATAATTAGCCCTGAAGCAACACACAACTTGAAAATAATCATGGTAAGCTGACTGGGCCAGGAAAAAACCTAAGAAGCCAATCAAGCTGAGCCAAGTCGAATCGTGCTGTGACGAGTCAAATCCATGGCATTGGGGATAATTTAGAATATGTGGGAGGTCAGGCAGGTCTCTTTGGGAAAGGAAAGAAAGAAAGGAAAATTGACAGGTGGATTCATTCCTAGAGGCCGGAATCCAAGAAAAACTTAGGTGGGACGGGAGCACCACCTAGGATTGGTGATGTGGTGCACCCACCCAATCCCATCATGCCACGTGTCCTGTAATTATTATACTTCCAAAATTAAAATTCAAAATTCCCTACTTTTGCGTGTTGCTGCTGGAGAGTGGTATACCTTTTCTCTTTCCATTTTAATGGATTATTTAATTGCAGGGATAAACTTTCCCTTTCGATAGAACCAAGAAAAGGAAGATGGACACCCAACGCCCAAAAAAACCCCTTCTCACCATTTTCATCGATCCCACCTTCAAACACATATTAATGGCTACAAGTCAGAGAGTGTTGCTGGTACCAATGGGTAAACAGAACACATGCTGCTGGTGACGCCCGACGACTTTGCTATAGGAGTAGCTGTCAGCGGTGGTGGGATCGAGGAGAGCACGGAGTTGCGATACGGGGGACGGCGAGCTCACCTCCTGATAAAACTGCTGCTACTGATTGCCGCCCTGGAGCGTGGCTTCTTGGAGGAGGTACCGCTATTAGCCACCTTCATCAAATCTCCGCTCCGAGGCCGTCCCACATCCTCCGTCTCTGCTTTCGATTGCCAACTCTTCCTTCACCGCCTAGTATCTCTTTGCATTTAGGCCACCTCCCCAATGGAGCCAGAATGTCGATAGAATGAATTACGCGCAGAGCATGGTCCTGTTCGACGTATGATGGTTCAAAACCAATGTGTTCAGTTTGTAGACCGGGAACTCCCCGAGGATCGGTGGCGAATACTCGACGGCGATGACCCTTTTCAACTTTAGTCGAATTTTTATTTCATAGGATTTATTAAAGGTGTGAGTTTATTTCATTAATCTTAATCAAAGAAGTGTCCGCAAAGCCGCACCGAAACGGAGAAAGAGGAGAGAGTTTTTTAGTTTTAATTTTGGAAGTATAATAATTACAGGACACGTGGCATGATGGGATTGGGTGGGTGCACCACATCACCAATCCTAGGTGGTGCTCCCGTCCCACCTAAGTTTTTCTCCCGGAATCCTGACTTGAATGCCAAAGCTAACCTTTCAGCAGCTTTTTGTGGGAAAGAGAAAGAAACTATTCAAACTGCCACAACCACTGAATTTTTTCAAACAACTCTTTCAATTCTTCGGACTTCCTCCTTTTCTTCTTCTGGCCAACTAAGAGTGTACTTGTTTATGTTGTTGATTTAAGTAGGCACACACAACAAAAATCCTCTTCTTGTCTCATTGCAGTTCACCTCGCACATTTGTATCGTACCACTTCATAATAAATTGAACTAATACTTTATTTGAAAGATAACATTCATCATTTCGTACAATACAAACATATAATCTCTCGCATTCTAGTTTAGATGAGGCCTTGCGGAAATTTCGAATGTGAATAGTCAATCGAAATCGTTAGCTTATCTGATTGCAACTGTGCATATAGTACTAGTTTGATAGTTGTGGATTCTAGCTACCACTTGTTTTGAAGAAAAAAGACAATTGCAACTCCCTCTGTTTTTTTTCTTCTTCCCTTTTATAAGGTTCTACGAAGGTTGTAAAAGTGCTATAATGAATGATAGAAGAATTGGGTGTGGCATCCACATGGAATGAGAATTCTGAAAAAGGTTGGGTATTTTTAGCAGAGAAAAAGGACCTTTTATTGGTTTGCCCCTCCCTCCATCAAATGTGAAACGCGTCGTCCGTTGTAACTAGATACCTCCACCAGGCGGCAGCGGCAGCAGCAGCGTATACGAATGAAAAGCCCAGTTCCTTTCCGGCTTTCCTAGCTCTTTTACCATTTCTCTCATTTTCACATCTCTTTCTTTTTTCAAAGCCAAACAAATTGTACGACACTATCTCGTTGTCATAGATATACAGCCTAGCAAACACATGACCCCACACTAAATACAAAGGCAAATACGTAGTAAACCATTTAACAGAAAAACAAATATGATCAATGACTATGTAAAATAAATCTTCAATCAATCACAAACATTTCATCATCTTTGACGACATTGTAATACTATTTCGTAGGGCTGCTAAACGGTACGGTAACCGGTTTACCGTTTACCGTTTTACCGGTATCGGTATTACCGGGACTCCCTTAAAGGCCGCCGAATACCGCTACCGATATACAACCGGTATGCCGATTACCGAGTGACCACGGTATCGGTAATGGGCTTGTATACCGACTTACCGATAGAAAGGTAAGTGGGCCTGGCGGGCGCGGGCCTGTCCACTGTCCGTGAGTTGTTTGTTTGTCTCGCCTCTGGGCTCTGGCCCTCTGCGGGCCGCCTGCCCCTGTCAGTTGTCACCGCCAAATTGAAGAACAGAAGAAGACAAGAAGTAAACAGGGGAGGGGAGCATTATATTTTTTTGTCTCTAACAAGTAACAATTATAGATTTAATAAATCTGATTTATTGTATCAAACTATCAGCACGAAAATAAGGGATCACAATTCACAAATCACAAATCACAGGCAGGGATCACAATTCACAAATCACAGGCGCACAGCGGAGAAGGGACAGAGACCGGATACGGCGACGGCGACGAAAATAAGGGATTCACAGCCGGAGACAATTACCTCTACAATGGACGGAGATCGGATACGGCGACGAAAGTAAGGGATCACAGCCGGAGAAGATCACCTCTACAATGGACGGAGATCGGAGACGACGACGACGGTCTCACGGAGTTCAACGGACAGCGGAGCCGCGATGGGAGGAAATCGCTAGCGACGGGGTTCGACGGCTGGCGTGAACGGAGGAGGATGGTTCGGCGCCAACGACGATGAAGTGAACGGAGGAGGAGCCAGGAGGGATCGGCGGTCGTGTCGTGCAGCAGTCAGGGCGTCGGGACAGGGGTCAGGGGATGAAATTACGATGGCTTTGAGAGAGGAGGGATCGACTTAGGGCTGCCTGTGCTGGGCTTTTAGTTTTAGGCCGACGTTTCGTTTTGTTTTCTGCCGAGTGCCGATCCGCGCGCGGGACACAATCCATCTCCCATTCGGTGTCGGATTACCGATAACCCGTCGGTAAATTGCAACCCCGGTGCCGGCATACCGCCATCCCAAAAAACGCATCCGCCAACCGTTTTTTTCGGTAGCCGGTTTAACCGGTAACCGCGGCTACCGGTACGGTAACCGGTTAAACCGGAAACCGCAGAACCATTTGGCAGCCCTACTATTTCGGCTCATGAAAACAAATTATGTAAGCCTACAATATTTGGAATGGTCACTAAAAAGATATATTTTTTTTTTGCCTCACAAATAATTTCCAAAAGTGTGAAGACATGCTATTACTTCTCCAAATTAAAACTTACCTTCACGCGCAAATGATTTAATTAAATCATAAATAAAGAAGCAAAATCAAAATACTAAGACCTCCAATCAAATTAATCAATCACACAGCTTCTCTTTTGCACCCCGCGTCTCTCTCTCTCTCTCTCACAGTGGCTTCTCCTGGACTTCACACCTCAAGTTACTTGCTCTCTACGGATCTCTTCGCCCCTCCAAAAAAAAAAACATTTCTGTTTTTCTTTCTAATGAATTTCCTCTATTTAAGCTCCCTTTCATCCTTTCCTTCCACTTTCTTAACTGTTTCTTTCTTCAACAATTCCCCCTTTCTCTCCCTTTCTTCAACAATTCTCCTTTCTTCCTAGAGCGCTAGCTACTTAGCTCGAAAAAGGTTGTCATCATTCAGTTTTCTACTTTGAATTCCCATACATGGAAGAGGCAAGCGTGGTGAACAAGGAGGAGGAAATGGTGGATCTGCCGCCGGGGTTCCGCTTCCACCCCACCGACGAAGAGATCATCACCCACTATCTCACCGAGAAGGTCAAGGACGACGCCTTCGCCGCCGTCGCCGTGGGTGAAGCCGACCTCAACAAGTCCGAGCCCTGGGACCTCCCCAGTAATATTTTACCCAACTCTTCTTCTTCTTCCTTTCCGTTCCTCTCCTCTCTACGAAAGAAGAGAAAAAAATAAAAAGAATTATTCTAAGACTAAAAGGTTTCTCTCTCTCTCTCCTCCGCTGACTGTACGTGTTAGGCAAAGCGAAGATGGGGGAGAAAGAGTGGTACTTCTTCTGCCAGAGGGACAAGAAGTACCCTACAGGGATGAGGACCAATCGCGCCACCGAGGCTGGCTACTGGAAGGCCACCGGAAAAGACAAGGAGATCTTCCGGGGTAGAGGCTGTCTCGTCGGGATGAAGAAGACGCTGGTTTTCTACCGCGGCAGAGCTCCCAAAGGACAGAAAACCAATTGGGTCATGCACGAATACCGCCTCCACGGCAACTTCTCCTCCTTCCCCAAAGCTTCAAAGGTAATTCAATTTACTTTTTCATTTCTTTTTTCTTGGTAGCCAATTCCTTTCATCAACATATATATGACGACTTTTAGCTTCCTTCTTATGGACTGTGTGATGATGTATATATATTGTGACGAAACTTAATTCAATTATAATTCAGCGGACGCGAAACTGCCGATTAATTGGAGTTTAATTTTTTTTTTCCTTTTCTTTTTGGTTGCTTTTGGTGTGCAGGACGAATGGGTTGTGTGTAGAGTGTTCCACAAGAATCCTGCGGCGGCGGCGGTCGGCGGTGGTGGAGGAGCGTGGATGAAGAGATCCTCTCCGATGGAAGAGCTGTTGAGGGCGAATTCTTTCGGCAACGACGATTTCCTTTTGGACTCTTCCTTGTCGCTCCCGCCGTTGATGGATCTTCCCTACGGTGATCACAACCACTTCGCCAAACCGACGTCCTCTGGAGCAGCAGCGGCTGCGGTGGGGGAAGCCAGTTCCAATTATGGATTCGCCAATAACTACCATCTGTATACTTTTCCGAATCCGGCGGCGGGGTATTTGCAAGGCGGCGGACAGTGCAAGGTGGAGCAGTCGGTGGTCAGCCTTTCGCAAGACACGGGGCTGAGTACGGACAACATGAGCGCGGCGCCGGAGATCTCGTCGGCGGGAGGGAAGGGGTACGATGGGTTTGAGGATCCGACGTCGGCGGGAGGGACCACGTCATCGGAGTTGGACTATTTCTGGGATAATTACTGATTGTGATTTATTCGGGTTCATGAATATGAATCTTGATTCTTAGGCCCACCCACCATGGGACTGTTTGATTAATCAGTTAATTCATCATTAAGGGTGATTAAAATTAGGACATTAAGAAATTGGAGAAGGGGGGAAAGGGACAGTGATTAATTCTCTCTCTTTTCTTTCTTTGTACTTACAACATTTGATTAGGTATTCTGTGTACAGATTGTGGTGTTGTTACGAGCTCTAACCTTGTATTGCAGATGTAAAAATCTGCAAATTTTATTAACTGATATACATATAGATGAAGGAGAGAGCTATGTGCCTATATCAGTATATATACCATTGTAAAACATTCATATCAAATATATATGTGTCCAATTGTTTTTTTATTATATGTTTTTTATTGTGTGCTTTTAGCTCTACAGTCGTCTACATACTCTGTATTGTTTGACGAAATTGGTACATAGTACCTTTCATTTGGGTAAAGAAAAAATCACTACAGTGGTCACATTCTAGCTAGCTACTTGGTTTCTTTCTTGACCAGTTCAAGTCTCGAACCATTTACTCACGTGGGAAAAAAGTCTCGAAAATGGAAGATAACTGTAAATTCTCACATAATTTGAAATCACTTGCATGTGGATCAAGATTTAGCTGAAACCGAAAAAGAACAACAAAATTATCTATGTAAGAATACGATTCTCACATCGTACCATTGTGGTTTCTGGTCCGTCCATACGGTTTTTCACCTCAAATCTAAATTCGAAAACGGGATTGAATTGTTTGCCATATGATTCGAGTTATACTATCTAGTTTCAGGTAAAATCAAAAAATCCTGACCAAATAATTACCCCTTATACCACATACTGATTGATCCCGTGTTAGTATTATTACCATATGGCGGGAATCATTCCGTTTAACTTTGTATAGGTATTGCAAAGACATCTTCAACTAATACCAGTATTTATTTTTTATAAGAGTGAGATAATTTTTTTTTATTTTAGTATTATTTAAGAAATTTCAAATTTGTAACCTCCAAGACCAAAACCTGGTAATACCCCACTTGACCAAATTGACCATTACTTTATATCTGAAACGACTGTATTCAGCTGCAAGTCTGAGGTACTTGGGTTATTTTTTTTTTTCCGGTAATTAGCAGATTTCATTGAAGCATCCTCCCGGCCAACTAGCACAAGGGAGTCGAAAAAATACAAAGGCATTCAGCCCACACTCTACTTGCAGACAGAGATACCAAAACAAAATTCCCACCCATTACAAAACCCCACCACAGTTAGCTGAAGTTTGCAGCTGGGTAGCAAACTCAGGATGCCCACATGCATATAGCCTAATCTCATCCCTGATCAACTCACTAAGTACTACTGCTGGACGAGGAGCCTCTCCATAAACTCGTCGACAGCGCTCCCTCCACACTCCACATATACACCAACTCCACACCGAGTTTTCAATTAAGCCTCCTAGATTCTTGAGGCGATCAGTCATGAATTGCAGCATAGCAGACCAATCAACAGGGACCTGCATAGTATAGCCCAGAACACCAGCAGCGACCTCATTAGTATAGCAACAGTGGCAGAAAAGATGAGAACTATCTTCCTCCACCAAAGAACACAATAGACATGCACTATCTGAAATCAAGCCCCAGCTTTTGAGCTTGTCACGAGTATTGATTATGTTCATAACAATCAGCCATATCAGAAGACTATTTCTAGGCAGCATAAATTTATTCCATACCACCTTCCACCACTGTGCCTTGGGCTGTCTCTTCCTGATTGATTCCCAAACAGCAGACACAGAGTACTTCTGCAGTAGCTTGTTTTGCCAGGTAACTGACCCCTCCTCGAGTTGCATTCTGTAATGGAGCCATGGCCGGATTTTCAATACCTGTTTCCAAATCCAAGAAGCGCTAGAGGAGACCCGAACCTCCCAAATAGAGACCCCCCTCAGTCGGTACCTACTGATCCAAGCCACCCAGAAGCTCCCCCCTTGTAGGAGGAGCAACCAAATCAGTCTCGCCATAGCTGCAACATTCCAGGTCACAAGGTTTTTTAGCCCTAAACCTCCTTCCTTCTTAGGAAAAGCCAAGATTTCCCAAGCCACCTTGGCTCTTCCATTCTTATCCCCATGCCATATGAAGTCAGAACATATTTTTTGAATATCTTTCAGCACCTTCTTAGGAATTAAGAAGATGGCCATCCAATAATGCACTAATGAATAAAGAACAGAGTCCACCAGCTGCAACCGCCCAGCATATGACAGCTTGTTTGCTCTCCATGTCCGAATTCTAGCTGTAATTTTGTCAAGCAAAACAGCACACTCACGACTGGACAATTTCCCAGATATCAGAGGTAATCCCAGGTATCGGACAGGTAGTATACCTTCTTTGAAACCAGAAACTTCAAGAGCATTTGTTTTGAACTTATGTGCATACCCCCCAAAAAATACCTCACACTTTTCAGGATTGCATTGCAGCCCAGAAAGAGTGTAAAAATCATCAAGAATAGCTCTCAAAGCCATTAGAGCTCTGCCTGATCCCTCAGAGAAGATCAGAAGATCATCTGCGAAGCACAGATGAGTCAAACCAATCCTCTGACACTGTGGATGATAAGGTAAAACTCTATTGGAAGCTGCTGTATTCAGTAAAGAGGTCAAGGGTTCCATAGCAATGGTGAACAGATAGGGAGAAAGGGGATCTCCCTGTCTGACCCCTTTTGCTGCTGAGAAGAACCCAAACAAACTCCCCTGTACTGTAATACTAAAGGTTGCTGACTTTAAACAAGTTTCAATCCAGGTTAGAAACTGTAAGGGGAAATCCATCTTTCTCATCACACACATCAGATAATTCCACTCAACTGAATCGAAAGCCTTCCTTAAATCGACTTTCACAGCACATCTAGAAGAGAGATTGGTATTATGATAGTTGTGAACCACCTCCTGGGCCATCAGAATATTCTCAGTAATGCTACGACCCTGAACAAATGCAGACTGATTCCTGCTGATTACTTTTGGCAACACTGTTTTAAGCCCTATTAGCAATAACCTTGGCTATGATTTTATAAATCACATTGATGCATGCAATCGGCCTGAAATAGTTCAAATGATCTGCATTTGGTTTTTTAGGGATCAAGGTCAGAGAAGCAGAATTCATACCTCGCGGTAAAGAACAATCCTCAAAAAATTGCTTCACGCCAGCCACTACTCTTGGGCCAATAGTCCCCCAACTCTTCTGATAAAAACAAGCGTTCCATCCATCAGGCCCCGGTGCCTTCGAGGGGTCCATGTCAAATAGAGCTGTACGTATTTCTTGATCTGTTATCGGATCACACAGCTTGCTGCGGTCTAAGTTACTGAGCTTACTGGTAATACATTGATCAATCAGAGCCTCATTCACTCGTACTGCCGAGTTGACTTTGCCAAACAAGTTTTTGTAATAGACAATGGCCTCATTTGCAATGTCTTGGACATCAGTCAGCACCTCTCCTTCTGATGAAATGATCTTCCGAATCTGTTTCCTTGCTGATCTGATTTTAGCTAAGTTGTGAAAGTATGAGGAGTTTTGATCTCCCAGACTCAGCCACCCAACTCTTGAACGCTGTCTGAAAAATGATTCTTCAGCCTGCTTCAGCCTAACATATTCTTCTGTAATCAACTTGACCTCAGCAAATTTTTCCCCCGAGGGATCTTCAAGGGCTAACAATTGAGCTTCCTTCATTTGATTTTCCTTCATTCTAGTTTTGCCAGTGATATCCCAAAATTCATCTTTATTGAGCTGCCGAAGCTTCTGCTTCAATATGTACAAGGTTTGCTTTAAACCAAATAACCCTCTCCCTTTGACTTCCGTATTCCAGCATTCCTCAAGTATAGGCCAATATGATTTATGCTTCAACCACATATCATAGAATCTGTAAGGCTTTGGGAAGCTTTTAGAAGGCAGCCATGGTGAGACCAGGATCCCACTATGATCTGAAAAGTCTGGGGCGAGATACTCAACAACCGAGTTGGGAAACTTCTGCAACCAATCTACATTGATCATTAGCCTGTCCAGTTTCCTGGCTATCGGATTGTCCTGCTGCTGGTTTGCCCATGTGAAAAACGGGCCTGTAGCTGTATGGTCGAGGATCTCCATCTGTCTTACCCACTCTCTGAAATCAATGGTGCTGGAGGATATAGCCACATCATTTGATGCTTCAGATGGATGGAGGATGGCATTAAAATCCCCCCCCACCATCCAAGGTGCTCCCTAAATCTTCCAACGCTGTAGCCTGTCATAGGTTCCCTTCCTATCCTTCTCATCATTTGAACCATAGACCACCGTAAAAAAGAACTTCTCACCATTGTTCAGACTCACCGCAGCATGTATAAAATTCTCCTCAATTGCCAACTCCTTCAAATCAACATCATCGCTCCAACCAATCCATATTCTACCCAGCTTGTGTTTACTATAATTGTCTGCAAAACGAAAACCTACAAACTTCTGCCTTATTTCATCTATCTTTTTAGTTTTCTGTACTCTAGTTTCAAGTAATGCAAAAAGAACTACCCTATGAGTATGTAGATATCTAAGCACAGAATTGTGCTTCGAGGAGCTATTAAAGCCCCTCGTATTCCATATCAGGACCATCATTTGCGTGGATTTGCCACCTTAGTGGCTCCTCCCTGACTTCGCAATCCCTCCCTGTTGGTTTTCTTCTTTGGAGGGGGCTGTAATTTTATATCCCTGCTTCCACACAAAAGTTCAAAGGCATTAGCATGGATCACAGCAGAGGATGCACCCTTAGCACTCTTTGTCTTAGTTTTGGCCCCATTTATCACCGTGTTGAATTCCTCCTGTGATGGGAGAGCGCTAGGAGTGACAGGAGAGGGAGCTTCAATCCATATGGCTTTACCTTTATCTGCCTCTTTACCATTTCCCATCCCTTCTGAACTACCAGGAATCACCTTCACAGAGTCCTCCAACCCATCAATAGTAGATATTTGAGGTTGTTTCACCCTCCATACCTTCTTGGCTTGTCCCCCTACCTGTACAGCACAATCATGGCCAAACACCTGACATTGCCCACAACATCGCGGAAGCCCACAATATTCCACTCCAATGAAGAATTCAGCCATATCATCCGGAGTTACACTGATCTTTTCCACCCTAGGTTTCTTCGCACTCACCTCCACACAGACCTTCGCTCTACCCACCCTTTCACGATGAGCAGTCGAATGGTCCATACACAGTGGTTTACCCACTGCACTCGCAATCCTCCCAAGACCTTCTCGCAACACCAACTCAGCTGGCAACCCTGATAGAACAATCCATACCGGAACAGCAGAATTATCAATATCCAAAGCCCTAATTCCTGGAGACCATTTCCTCAAGCAGACAATCTTCTCTTTGTAGTGCCATGGACCCC